GCTGCTGAAAATGATGCCAATGATGGCGTAGGGATAATCATACCACTGGTGCCGTCCTTCTCTGCTGAGCCACCAGCCAACCCAGGGCAGGTACCACCCCGTGTCACAAATCTGGCCAGCCGGCCTGGTCTCGAAGCCCACGCCCAGCACATGGCCCCCTAGGCTGACTGGCGACTCAGCTCCCAGCCCAACTGGCTGCCCACTTTCTCCCTCCCACTTTTCTTTGCTGTACAGACAGCAGAACGTGCCACCAAATTAGGTTAAGGAGGTGCTTGGTGAAGGTTGTTGGGTGGAGGCTGGCCGGCACTCGGGTGCTTTACGTCGTAATTGCACGTTGCTCACTGCAGTTGCCAAATGTGGAACCACAAGAGTTTTCTCAGGACCCGTCATCTCACACAATTACAATAATTACGTCCCTCTGGGAAGGTCAGCAACAACGACCTCAGAGGGGAAAGCCGCGTGGCAGAAATGACTCGGGGCCGGGTGGAGCGGGAGGGCGCTGGGTCCAGCACTGACCGCCCTCGGCAGGCGGGGTCCAGGTGTTTTCCTGGGAACCACAAAGGGGCGAAGCAGGGGGTGTGGCTGGCCGAGCTCTGAAGTACTTCTCAAACGCCAAGAGAAAATTTCTGGAACATATTTGGGAAAAACCTGTAACGTTTTCTGGAACTGTCCAGTTTCTAAGGGAGGGAGTCGATGTTTCCATGGGCAGATTCAGGCAACCGGGTATTTTGAATAACAGAATGTCCATCAATACACATTTGAAAACCTCAGGACTGGGCAGAAAACAAAAGCGTTTACCGTGGTTGTGCTGGAGGAACTCATGCTGTGGGGAACTCGGTGGGCAGAGGGCTCGGGGAGGTGCCCCGAGAAGCCGAGAGCCAGGGCAGCACCAGCGCGCCTGGATCGACACCTGGGCAGCCCAGGCTTGTCACTCGACCTGATACAGGCTCTGTGATGATGTCAGGAACCCTGCATCTCCCCAGGAATGGAGACCTACTGCAGGTCACCGAGGCTCAGAAGCAGACCTGACCCCACAGCCTGAGTGAGCCAGACCAGCGAGGGGCTGGGCCAGAACCCAAGTGCACCCACCACCCACATCCAGAGGCTGGGCAAGGGCATCCAGCCCCACAGACCCCGCCCCAGCAAGTCTCGTTCCTTGGGTGATAGGTTCCTGCGCACTTGAAGAGAAAACAACTAGAGAAGATGAAACACAGGGGCTGCTGCTCGAGCTGTAAAACTCCCAGGTCAGGGACATGCCCAGGAGCCCAGAGATGTTGTTTGGTCATCACTGTGGGTCGTGGTCAGACCGGAGGCCACTGCTGCTGCCACAGGGAGGGGAAGGGCTCTCCCTGCCTGGCCACGTCTTGCTGTCCCAGGCCGGCCCAGGTCAGGGGCTGTAGCCCTTGGACGTATCAGAGAGACGTGCCCAGCAGGTGCCTGGGAAACACTTCTTGAGCGAAGGGACAGATGGGGACTGAAGATCGGTACTGACTCGAGCCTGGGCCATGGACACCCCTATGTGCTCTGGTGTGGACCCGTGGGGTGGGCGGATGGCTCTGTGGGCACTCACCCTGCAGCACCGCCTCCTCCGTGGCAGCCACCTCATAAGGCTGAGTTGTGCTGTGGGGCCTGCTGTCATTGCTGAGCCTCGCGTTACTCTGCCGCCTGTGCTGTCACTCTGGTCTCATGGGGCCATGGAAGGTATGGGGCTGGATGGTGGGGGCCCAGTCCCCTCAGTTGCTGTCACCAGGGTGGGGACATGAGCAGACTTGGAGGGCAGCTCCGCCTTGGTGACTCCAGCAGGTTCTGCTCTCACACCTGCCTCCCGACAGTCGCTGTGGCATTTGGAGGCTGTGAACGCAGGAAGCACCCAGGTTTTGCTGGGATCCCGTCATGTGCAGCTCCTTTCCCACCACGGGTTGGGGGGTGGTGGCTGCTGTGGCCCCTTCCTGGGTGAACTGAGAGAGACCCTCTCCAAGAGGTGCCCCCAGACACCAACACATGGCAAGTTCCCTTCCCGCCTGGGAGGACCCGCACACTGTGACTGGCAAGGACCCTTTGGTTCACACTAGATCCCTCTGGTCTTTCTTTGTTGCCAGCTGGGTCCTAGGTGGAGAAGCCGGGTGGGTGATTGCTGAGCAGCCTCAGACAGCCATGACCCACCTCATCCTGCTGGCTCCAGCCCCAAACGTAACACGCCCCTCAGGAGCCTAACACCATGGGTACCAGGAGCCTCATCATGGGGATGTTTCATCTGCAGGTGGCTTTGCAGGGCTGGGGCGGGGGGGTCGGCAGCCCCACCTTGCTGGGCGCAGAGACGCCCAGGAGGCCTGGAGCATTTCTGGAGTATAAACCTCCCCAGGAGCTGAGGAAGCCATGGGAACTAGTTCTGCAGCTGCGGCCACACCCTGCAGCTGGCAGCTTGTCAGAAGGAGGGAAATCCGGAAATTCCTGCTTCAGGGACCCTCCAGGAATCTGGAGGTACCTGTGTCCCCAGAAGGGAAGGCCTATCACAGAGACTGGGTCTGAGAGCAGCAAGGCCAGGCCTTTCCCAAGATCCTATCGGGTTCTCGCAAGAACCCTGCCAGGCAAGCACGATTACCTTAGCTTTTGTTTTTTAATTAACAGACTTGATTTTTCAGGTTTACAGAAAAAGTGAGCAGGCAGTACAGAGAGCTCCCATGTTCTCCCTCCAGAGTGCTCAGATTCCGTTACTAAACTCTTGCTTGTGTATGTTGTTGCAATGGATGAGCCAGTATTGATACATTGTCACTAAAGGCTGTATCATTCACTCTGGCTGTTCTAGGGGTTGGGTTTGGCCAAACAGAAGCACCACTGTACTGTTCTAGTTTTAGGGAAGTGGACTTGGGCTCAGGTGCTTTGGCAGCCTTCCAGGTCACAGAGCCCAGGGGCTGGGATGGGAACCAGCTCTGTGCCACCCCAGAAACGGCAGCTCCGCTTTGGTCCAGCCGTCACTGGGGGTATTGAAACCCTGAGCAGGTCACTCAGGCCGGCAGCACTCAATCTCTGCGTCTGCAACACGAGGGGGCCCTGACGCTGCCCCTGCCCCTTGTTCAATGTGAAGACCTGGCCCCTGACCAGCCACATGGCCCTTCAGGATGCACAGGCCTGGTGGGGCTGTCTGTAAGGGGGCAGTGTGCCAGGTCCCTTTAGCACCTGCAGCACGCTGGGTAAGGGGCCGCCGTGCTGTGCGCACACGCTTAGCGCATACAGAGGCGGCTGCAGTTTCCAGACTTGTATCCAGCAGGTTCCTCTCCCAAAGGCCTGGGCGGTGGTTTCACTTGGCCCATTTCTCAAAGCACTTCTGCACCCTGGTGCCTGCAGCGATAGGGGCAGAGGCACACATGCCAGTGGGGCACAGGGAGGGTAGCGCAGGCCCCAAGCCCGAAACGCACAGGTGGAGCCCTCTGGCCTCAAGCTGACCTTGGGTCTCACGTGCCGTCACTGTTGACAACTGGGCACGTCCCTGCTCCAGCTCTGGCTGGTGGGTTGACCTGCTCAGTTCCAGGGCTGCTCTAAACAGACCCTCCAAGGGAAACCCTGTGCCTCCACCTCAGCACACCGGGGGCTGCCGCCTCTCAGCTGAGCTGTTTGGGGCCCTGCAGTCAGGCTTCTCCTTGGGGTTAGACTTCAACCCTCCAGCCAGATGAAGAGGTGCGACAGGCAAGTCCACAGGCACAGGAAGTCACTCCCCTCCCCCAGGTCACTTAAAATCCATCTTGGCTGGAAGAGAAATGCTAAAGCAGGTCAGGTTTCTCCACCATTTGATGCTGTCTGAGGCTCTGCAGCTCAGACCAACGCCAGAGTCCGATGTGCCAGGGCTCCCTCCCTCTCCTGGTACACCCTCACCATCCTCTCGAAGGCCATCGAGGCCCCACCCAGACCCAGCTCCTGGTCCCGGTGTCAGGCCCCCAAGCCAGAGAACGCCTCTCCTGTCCAGTCCCTGCTGGGGCTGCTGGTGTCCCCGCTGTCTCCCCCACTGGATGTCACGCACATGGTGGCCCCGGAGAAGGAAGCCACTCTCCTCGCGCTGTAGTCACCATGCCGGGTCCTGCTAGAATAAGGGTCTCAGTGGGAGATTTTGCACCCAGGGGCATTTGGCAATATCTGGAAACAGTCTGGGTTGCCAAACTTGGGAGTGGGAGCAGTGCTACCGACATGATGCTACTAAAACTCTCCAGCGCACAAGACGGTCCTCACCACGAGAATCAAGCGCAGACCGGTGAGGCAGGTGCCAGACCCACTCCAGAGCGGGGACGGGGGACGTGCGGGGAGCTCGCAGCGACGACGTACAGGAGCGGCGGCCTCAGGCCAGCAAACCTACAGCCTCGGCGTGGGGTGGGTGCTCCGGGGTCCGCTGCAGCTCAGCAGTGAGCCCGCCGCACCACCAGCCACAGTGGCCCCCGCTCCGCCCCTGGGCCGCAGAACCTCCTCAGAGCACACACAAAGTCTGCGGGGGTTGGGCGCCAGGACACCCCGACGGGTCAGGCTGGTCACACAGAACTGGCAGGCCAGGCGCCCACGCCACAGCTCACGTCCATTCCGGGCTCAGTCTGCACCCTGGGCCTCGGCCGCTGCGGACGGACCCGCCCGCCAGGCGCTCGGCTTGGGTCTGCACACGCTGGGGCTCAGGCCTCTCCCCGCCCCCGCTCGTCCGGGCCGGGGACCCGCTGCTGCCCCGCCCCTCCCGCCCTGGACGCTACTTTCCGGACCCTTCTCCCCGTCCCTCGCGCGGAGCCCTCCTCTCCTGGCGTCCCGGCCTGTCCCACCCCCGGCACACGCCGCAGACACCGGTGGCGCGGCGCCCAGCCGAGCGCACTGGGGCGCTGGGGTCGGGACGGGGTTCGGGCGCGCGGGGCGGGGCGACCGGCGTGGGCGGGGCGGGGCGGGGCGGGGTCGCTGCGCGCGGGGCGTGGGCTCCGGGCGGGCGCCGCCCCGCAGCTGAGCCGGGACCCGGCCGCGGACTCGCAGACTTCAGAGGCTCGGCGGCGGCGGTGCGCGGCTCCGGCGGCTGCGGCAGCTCCACCGGCACGGAGTCCCCGGCTCTGGCCGGGATGGGCGGGCGGCCGCGCCGGGTGCGCGGGGGGCGCGCGACGTGACCCGCCTGGACTCGGAGCCCGGCCCGCGGCCGCGCCGCTCGAGGGTCTGCCGGGGAGCGCGGACGCGGGGCCGGCGGCTGAGCCGGAGCCAGAGCATGCGGGGCGCGGCGCGGGCGGCTGGGGGGCGCGCGGGGCAGCCGTGGCCGCGGCCCCCCGCCCCGGGCCCTGGACCCCTACGGCTGGCCGTGCTCCTGGCCGTGCTGCTGGGTGGCGCGAGCGCTCAGTACTCGAGCGACCTGTGCAGCTGGAAGGGGAGGTGAGTCCGCGCGGCGCGACCGGCCCCGGGTCCCCTCGGCTCCCTTCCTTCCCCGGGCTCCAGGCCGAGTGCCGTCGCCGCCGCCCCCGCCGCGGTTCTAGAACAAAAGAGCCCGCGGCGTCCCGGTGCCCTGGCCCGGAGGACGCCCAGGGGAGGCGCGCCTGCAGCGCGGCGGGGTCAGTCCGGCCGGGCCGCCCACTCGCCGCGCGCCAGTCCCCACTCGGGTCCCCGGGTGTCTCGGCTGCCGGCCCCGCGACCCCGCACCGGAGGCGGGCGGGGGTCGGTCCTCGGGTTGCCCGCCCCAGGCCAGGAGGAGCCAGGCCTGCGCTCAGGGCCGAGCGGGAAGGGCCACTCGGGCTCGCGGGAGGGAGCGGCGGCCTGGGTGGACTGAGGGGGGCCCTAGCGCTGGCGGCGTCCGTGCGGGTGGAGACGCGCGGGCAGACACCTGTGCGCGGGGCAGCGTGCGGGCCGGCCCGAGCCGGAGCCCCCGCCCCCGCCCTGTGAAGGTCAGGCCGCCCTTGGCCGCGCGCTGGGCTCGGCGACCCCCCCTCCACGCCCCTCCGCCGCGGCAGCGAGGACTTTTTTAAACAGAAGTGTGACAAGCAGAAAGAGTGCAGGGCGCAAGTGTGCGCGGGCAGAGTGTTCAGATGAGGGCGCAGCTACTCAGGATGAGACCACAGTCCGCCGAGGGCGCCCTGGCCCCGCGCTGGCAACGCGCAGTTGGAGAAGCCAGTTTTGTGTCTCGGAAGTTGCCGATTCAGGAGTTTTCAGAGGGAGGTGCGCCTCTCCTCCTCCGGAAACGCTGTGGGCTGGGGCCACCCTGGGTCCAGGTGTCGGGGTGTCTCATGGAGCAGGGCCCCCCTCAGCCCCTCGGGCCATGATGTCTGCTGGGAAGATTCCCGCTGGCAGACACCTCATGCTGGGGTGTCACGGGGTTATTCTGAGTGAAGACCGTTTTCCGAGAAGGTCGGGGTTGTGCCAGTGCGCTGGACTCTGCGTCAGCAGAGCAGCCGCTGGTCATCTTGGATACTTACAGACCCAGTTCTCTGTGGTCGCTGGCAGTCATCCCGCTCCTCTCTCCCTCCCGCCCCCCTCCCAGAGCGAAGGTCCTGGCCTCCTCAGGTTGGGCGCGTGGTGCCCTCCCTCCCTGCAGCTGAAATTCTCCCTGCTCACAGCAGAGCGGGGATGGAGAGGCTGAGGCTGGGGCCACGAGTGGCAGATCGCAGATCTGAGCTGGGGGAGGGTTGGCCTGGAGAATGCTGGCGCCAGTACAGAGCTGGCTGGGAGCCTGTGACTCTGACACACTCTGCTGGGGCTGCCCTTCCCCTCCCCCCTCCCCCCCAGTAATTAAAGTCTCTGGTTTGCAGCCTCTGCTGGATGAATCAGTGCACCCCCAAACTGAGGCCTTGGGGTGTCCTGCTTCAACAGATAAAAACAGAAACCCAGTCCCACCCTGTGAGCTTGAGTTTCCAGAGGAGGAGCTGACATCCTTTTCAGGTTCTTAGAGGGCCGTATGCCTGGAAGGGGATGCCTCCCCTGGAGCCCAGAGAGGGCTGTGAGTGAGAGCTGGTCAGGGGTCCACTAGCTCTTGGACCAAGCAGGTGTTTGCTGCGGCGGCGGGGGGGGGGGGGGGGAGTCTCCCCCCTTCCTGTTCTCGTGCAGTCTCTTATCTACCTGTGGAAGCAGGGACGCTTGCCTGCAGCCCCTCTCCCTTTGTCATTGCTGATGTACCCCTGGTCGGGGACTCCCTCCACTTTCTTCCGCTCAGCCCAAAGGCAGAGCCAGGCAGAGGGCTGCCGCAGCGGCCTTTGGAGCTTCGGGTGCGATCTGGGGAGGAGACAGGGCCAGGCCACATTCCTGGAGCATAAGACCCCTTTGCCTTGTAATTGCTGCCCCCGTCACCAATATGCTTCACCATCATCTGACAGATGCTCGCTCTCGAAACCTGGGTGTGCTGGTTTGCCTGCTGACTCCGTGCATTTATGACTTTTTATGAGCTGTTCTAAAGACAGCACAGGGTGGTGCGAGCCCTGATATGCTGGGTGGATTCTGATCCCCTGATAGGAGGGGAGTTGCTCTTTATGACACTGGCCTCTCACACTTGACAGGCTGAAATGTGTTTCTGGGTGTTTCCAAGCAATAAAGTAGGTGGTTTTGAAATCCTTCTCCCTTGCGCAGTGGCCGGACAGCGCCCTGATCTTTATTAGGCAGCGGTCATAAAGGTGGACCATGGACTTTCCCACTGTTATGGGCAGGGCTCTCTTCTGCGATGTGGGACCTGAAAGGTGGCTCTGGTCAGCAGAGCCTCTGGTTTTCGCTTGACCTAGGCTCTTCCCGATCTGAGTCAACAGGAGACTGTGCTTTCCTTCCCGGGCCTCAGGTCTGAGCCAGGCTGGGGGTGTGCGTGCGGTGGGATTTGCTGCCACCACACTGACCCCTTCGCATCCCCACCTCAACCTGGAATTTGCCATCTTTCCCATGAAGGTGCTCCACAGGTGTGTCCACCTGGGGGTGCCACTTGCCAACTCTGTTGGAAAAATGTGTTAATTCAGTTTGGATAATCGAAGATTGAGTCAGTACGGTTGAATAGGACCGCAGTTTTTCCCGCATCTTTTAGCTTCGTGATAACATCGGAAAGCAGTTGTGTTATTTTTGCCTGGTTAGTGTGTCATTTGCGTGTCACGTGAAAATCGCAAAATACGTCATCGACGACCATCACAGACAGGGTGCGTTTCTGCACCTCCAGCAGTTTTGCATAAGTAGAAGTTTCTTCACGTTTGCTGTGGTGCCGGAAACTTAGACGTGAGAGATGTGACTACGTTTTCTGATAGGAACCAGATAGACCCCGAGTCCTTGACTTTACCCAGAGACCCAGTGGGCCCCAGGCTGAGGGGCTGGTGGTTCTTCTGGACTGAGCTGGTGTTTGTCTAAATGGGGCTCTTGCTTATCACACGCTGCTGACAGCCTGGGTTAAGGTGAGCAGCCCGGGCGAGTGCCTGGTCAGGTTCTTGTTGATCTTGATGTTTTAGGAGACTCTTCGAGAAGAGGTGGGTGGAGCCGTGGCAGACAGTCACCCTGAGGATGGGCGTGGACCCTCCTCTGTGCGCCAGTGAAGACATCAGTCAAAGGGTGAAGTAATGGGGTGCCATATTTCTTGTATGTCCACCTTCATTTAGTTCCTGGTCCTCTTTTAGTCAAGTGACTTACTAATAAATGAAGCCAGGTTCACCCCACGAGATGCACATGGTCATCTGTGCATGCTAGGGGAGGAGCCCCCAGACTCAGGCCGCCGTGGGTGGGCCACCTGTCCCATGAGGGCTCTCTGCTCCTGCCTGAGAAGTGGGTGGAAGATGGGCCCCCCCTTTTCTCCTTTCTCTGCTTGGATTAAAGTGACTTACTGAGAGGTATCCAAGGTGTCTGGTGTGGGTTCTCCACTCTCTGGATCCCCAGGGCTCCCTGTCCCCCACTGAAAGGGAAGCGAAGCCTTGGACAGGATGGTTTTTGTGGGAGAGAGTTGAGGATTGGTGCGTAGGTATGGGCAGGTGTCCGACTGCCCCTTGAGGCTGGAGACAGGAGAGGAAGGACACTAGGGTAAAGTTTGTTTTGGCTGCATAAGAGCAAAGCTGATTATAGACGTCTGTGAGTGTATTGCCACCACTTACCATTTAGTCTAATTTTTTCACCCAGCACTATAATTATGCCCTCCCCACGTATGTGTCAGATGAGCTTTTATGAGTGTTATTTGACTGTAATTTGTAAGTCTGTTCTGCATGTGCGGCCCCGGTAGGCATCGGAGGCTGGGCTGGCTGCTGGTGACCCAAGGCCTTGTGGGGGTGGGGAGCGGGGTTAGGAGGGTTCACCTCCTTGACACCTCCCTCTGATGTGGTCTGCAGGATGACTGTGCAGCCCCAGCCTGCAGCTGGCCGTCGTATGAAAAGTGAGGTTTTTCAGGGCCCGGAGCGTGAGTCACCAACAGTAAATGCAAACCATGTGTTATGTGTTTTCTCCTCTGCAGAAAGGGTTTCTGGTAACTCGCTCAGGCCAGGGCTCTGAATATAGGATTGTTTATTCCACATAAAAATCCTAAGAATGTGGGTGAACCTGTCTGAGGTCTGATCAGAACCAAATTTCATGTAACCGAACACGAAGCTGAAGTCACTGCTCGAGTTCCAGGGCTGCTCGTGGCTGTGACGTCACCCCAGCACAAGCTGGCATTTAGATTAAAATTTTGAGTAGGGGAAACTTGAATGTTTTTGATGGTTTCAATTTCTTGAAAACGTAACTTAACTTTGCTCAAGACCTGTCTCCCCGAGCCTGGTGCCTCATTTTTTCCGATTTAGCATTTGTTAGGAGTGGAGTCAGCTAGGACTCTGAGGACTCCGCTGGGAGTATGGGGCATCTCCACACGTCCCCTTCGTGTCCCTCCCTGTGGGGGACCTCGCCTTGCTTTTGTGTCTCGCTTTGATGACATTCTAGTTTATTGTTAAAAGTACAACTGGCAGTGCAGAGTCTTCGGGTTTGCCGATGAGTGAAGAGCAGTGAAGTCGTCACTGAGGAAAGTGACACTCAGGCCTAAGGCACAAGGCCGGACTCAGCGATGGCCGCTCACCCCAAACTGCCCATGTTCCTAGGCACTTCAGGAGCCAGTCTCTGGATCAGGTTGTCTGTTGTGTGCCCTGCGCCCCATGGCACCTCCTGCAGTCTGAACCTGCTGCATGTTTTCCACACTCAGTGGGAATCTCCCATCATTGCCTTGCCCTCGTTGGGTCATCTGGAACTTGGGCTGGTGCCAAAGTCCTGCTGGTGTTTCCTTGATTCTGTTTGGGAAGACCCATTCCTTCCTTGACTCTCGCCTCCCCTGTACCCATCGCCTCCCTGATTGACACGAGTGCCCGAAGCTGCAGCCCTGAAGGCAGCAGATGCTGAATGTCAGGGTGTCGAGAGGGCCTGGGAGCCAAGTGCCACCTGCACGCATCAGAGCACCGGCCCCGCCCGCTTGCTCTCTGGAGCAGACACACTGGAGGGAGTGGGCAGGGAAGCCGTGCGGCTGTCCTCCCGGGAAGAGGGCCCCGTCTGCAGGGCCGAGGTCGCGCGGGCTGCCTGTGGGTGAGGGGCTGCTGGGAGGGGGCAGAGGGCCAGCACGTGTGTGGGCTTCCCCTGGGCGGGTGCGTGTGGGGCTGGGCCCTGGCTGACAGTGTCCCCTCCACAGTGGGCTGACACACGAGGCGCACAGGAAGGAGGTGGAGCAGGTGTACCTGCGCTGTGCCGCGGGCGCTGTGGAGTGGATGTACCCCACCGGCGCTCTCATCGTCAACCTGAGGCCCAACACCTTCTTGCCCTCAAGACGCCTGACTCTCTGCATCAAGCCCCTCAGGGACTCCTCGGGGGCCAATATTTATTTGGAAAAAACTGGAGAACTGAAACTGCTGGTGCGGGACGGGGACCGTGGGCTCGGCCAGGTGCGCTGCTTCGACTTCGACCAGGGCGGCCTGTTCGTGGAGGCGACGCCCCAGCAGGACATCAGCAGGAGGACCACGGGTTTCCAGTATGAGCTGACCAGCCGGCGTGTGGGGTCGGACCTGCACGCTCTGTCAGGTGAGTGGTGTCCCCTGGGGTGGGAAGGGCCGGCCGCACCGGCTGCCTGGTCCTCCGGCAGTGACATTCCCTCCCGTCCCCCCTCAGCATAGTCTCTGTGAAAATGCTGCTCGCACCTGCACTTCAGACTTGGTGGGTCTGCCCAGGTGGCCCGGCGGGTGCCAGCAGACCCTCCTGGCGACATCCATGCAGTGCAGTGGATGTTGGACGCAGGGTGTCCCATTGGTGCTCTGGGTGTTTTTTTGACTTGGCGAAACAGCGTTGGTCTCCTAGGAAGTACGTTTGCAGAGGGCAGACCAGCGTCCCCTCATGATGGCCACGGGTCAGAGCGGAGAGCCGTGGCAGGCCATGGTCCTCGCCCTGACGTGCTCGTCCTCCGTGGACTAGTCATGGCTGTGATTTGAAGTGGAAGCTGTCACTGTTCAAACTGCCCCACCGTTTCTCCTGCCACACAGATTGGCTGAGTGTTTCTGGTGTCGGCTGCAGCCCCGACATGCGGAGGGTCAGGTGGGAGCCCCGGCTGATTCCCATTCCAGGGTGGTGCGCCGCTGCGACGTCCTGAGCCCCGGGCTGGTCCCGAGTTCCAGAGGCATTTTGTGGGTGGGTGTCAGTAAGGACTCCGCGGGTGTGGCGTGGAGACACCGACATGCCGGGAGAGGGGCTGCAGGTGGGGGAGCGGGCGCCTGGCGTCCTGTGAAGCAGCCCCCTGCCGCGGGCCCTCCTCTCAGGTGGCTGGGACAGTGTGGGCGCCTCTGCTGGGGATCTGGAGCGAGTCTCTGGGCAGCAAGGATGTCATGTGCACGTGGAGACGCGAGTTCTCTTTGGTTCCTCTTTCCTTTTTTCTTTTGAGGCGAGCAAACAGCTTTGCAGGGCCCTGTGTGGAGGGCAGTGTTGGTCTCCGGAAAGTTCCACGGGTGGAGACCGAGGAGCGCGTGGCCCTGAGAGCCCTCACAGGGGCAGGTCTCAGTCCTCGTGCCATGAGCAGGCGCAGGGTTCCTGACTTTTAGGGACCCCCAGGCCAGAAGGGGCCCTGTGACCGGCGGGGATGGTGGTGGAGGCCTCAAGTGGTGGAGGCCTGGCAGGCAAGGTGTGGACACCCACAGTGTTCAGGGCGCCCCAGCACGGAGCACATTGTGGCCCCCATGTGAGCAGGGCCGAGGCGGAGACACCTGGTTTGAGGGGTGGCCCATTCCCAGAATGGTCTAGTCTCCACATTTTGGTGGATAAAAGATTCCACTGGGGGAAGCAGATCTGCTAGGATCTGAAATGTAGACTTTCGTCCTGAATGTGAATCTACACTTCATTGTTCTGTGTTCTCGCTTAGATCAGTTTTCCAAACGTTAAATCTCTCTCCCACTAAACTGGTCTGTTAGAAAGCTTCAGCGTGGGACGGCCCAGGTGGGACCACGCCCCCATGCTGTCCACCCAGGTGGGACCCCACTCAGGAATGTAGCTTTGGAAGCTGCTGTAAACCTCAAGACCTAAATAAAACTTTAAGCAGAGCAGTCTCTATCTTGATCACTGGCGATTAGGGTGGGTGGGAGAGCTGGGGGAAGAGACCACAGCCTCGCTCTGGGGGCCTAGAGAGAAACTCACAATTAAAATCTGAAAAAACTCAGTCCCCAAATTCCCTGTCTCTGACTGTGGTGATGGCCGGCTGCCAGAGCAGATAGTAGTACTTCCTTCGCTGATCAAATGCCGGCTGGTCTTAGATACGTGGGGCTGTCACCTGTCCTCTCGTGGCCTGAGCTTTGTTCCACTTTTGCCAAGAGCCCATGACCTCTTGAAGAGGCTGTGACCAGTGCTTCATCACCACATGCCCTAAAGCTTGTGTTTGCAGACTGTTTCTGGCATCGGTCACAGCCTGGGCTGACTCTCAGCTCCCGCTCCCCAGGGCAGGGTCTGTGCCCCCAGCTCCGTGTTTCCAGGCCGGGGCATGAGCAGGCTTGGGAATGGCCCATAGCGGGGTGACTAGCTGCCCTGGGCTCCTGTGGGGTTGCGGGGAGGGGGCCCTGCGTGATGGGTGTAGGCCGTTTGGTCATGGCCTGTGCTTGGCCTAGGCTGGGTGTTGGGCTGGCTGGGAATTCCCTTGTTGCCCCCCGACAGATGCCTGTCCAGCCCTGAGGGTCTGTTTCCCTCTGGGGCCCACAGGGATCCAGGCATCCTGTGGGTGGTGGGGGGTGAGCATCTGTCTGCCCAGTGGCCCAGATGCTGGCCGGGGCAGCACAGGGACACACCGACTCTCAGAACTTAGGACGGGGCCCCAAATGCACCCAGGGCTCTGGAGCTGGGACCAGAAATGGGCACAGGTGTCAGCCCTCCCTGGGGCCCAGCTCCCCCGCCCCAAGGGAGATGAGGGGCAGCGGGGCTTGGGGGAGGCGGTGTATCCCTTCTCCCCGGGGTGTTCGCCTGTCATCGGGGATGGGCCTGTAAGCCTTTAATGCCGAAGGAATGGGGACGTCGTGTGGGATGTCGGTGCCAGCCATCTGGCAGCGGTGCCGGCTCGGGGCCAGGCGGGCTCTCAGACAGGAGCGCGTGGCTCCCAGCTCTCTCCTGTTCTGGCAGTGGCTGCGGGAGACCTCAGTGAAACTGGGGCGTGACACCGGGTGAGCACACGCCCTTGGCTGGCCAGCAGTGCAACCAGTGATGCCTGCTGGGGCAGACTCACCTCTCCCTCCTGATGAGTCACAGGTTCTAGTTTGTGCTGATGGGAAAGAAGAGGCTCCAGGGCTGGAGACCCGGCCGAGAGGTGTGTGTCTGAGCCTGGCCCCCCCTGCTGGGGCTCTGATGGTTCCACTGTGAGCGTTTGTAGCGAGCGCGTTGGCCTCATGTCCATTCATGTTGCGTAATCAGCTTCCTCATATGCACCGAGAAGCACCCATAGTTGGGGGGAGGCCAGCCATAGCTGGGAGTGGATAGGCAGGCTGCTCCCCGATGGGCGCAGACAGAGGGGCAGGGGGGCCGTGGGAGGTGAGCCCAGCAGGAGGGCAGGGCCTTCCCCCAGGGCCCTCCTCCTCCTCCGTGGGCCTCGTCAGGGCACCTGAGTGACTCGAGCACTCCTCCCACTGGCGATGAAACAACCTGGCAGGACACGGAAGGCCTGCGAGTGGCCAGATGCACTAAGTAGTGGGTGAGGCCTCTGCCACACCTGGCTGTGTGCTGAGGTCTGCTGGTGGAGCCTGGCTGGGCGTGCAGGGCTGTCCTCAAGGGTGGCGAGTGGAGGAGGGAGCAGGTCAAGGACACAGAGACAGACCCCGTCTCCTGCGTTTGCCTGGGCAGCCCAGGTGGGCCCTGGGTTCCGGTCTGTTCTTTTCTGCTCAGGAGCTGAGTAGCACGGCTCACTGGTGTGACCACATCCACGCTCTGGGGTTTGGGCTCCGTGCTGTGGCCACCCAGAGCAGGCTCCTGTGATCAGGTGCCTGGGGGAAGACTAGCGTTTTAGACCCATGGCGGGAGGGTGGGGTGGGCAGAGGGCCGCTGCCCCTGTGTTGGCCATGGACACACAAGTCCTCCCCTTGCTGGCTCATGGGTGCTGTGTGGTGTGGGCGGTCTGGGTCCCACAGTTTCTGATGGGCATCATCTCCCTGTTGCTTTAAACTCACTGTGTGACAAGCTGGGCCGAGCGATCCTGAAGGGAGGCCCGGGGCACAGAGCCCTTGTCAGGAGCCCTCTGGCCTTGGTAGGTCCTGGGGGTGAACAGCAAACTTCAGAAGTGAAAAGAAACCTATTATTTCCTGGAAACAGAAAAGGAGAGAACTTAATTTTTTTCCAAGGATCGTTAGTTTCCTGCACCAGTGGCTTCTCCAGCCACTGTAATTATTGTATAATTATTTTTCATCTCACCCATCTCTGGACTTTCAGGTGGAAGGGTGTGGCCTCCCCCGGCTTCCTCAGCAGGAGGAGGTGGCTGGTGAGACCAGAGTTCCCGAGAGGTGGGCCTCACAGGCGCGACCAGCCTGCCAGGCCCTGTGGGTCATCTCGGGGCGACGCCAGCCTGCAGCCTGGAGCTCTGGAGAGTGTGGTGGTTGCTGGGACAGTTGAAGGAGGCTTGAGAGCCTTAAGTGGCAGCTGGGTCTTAGCTCACTCCGGCCACGGCCACAGTCTGGCCAGTCTGGCCCTTGCTCCTCCTTTCTCTTTGCTCTCTGTTAAAACGCGGCATCTGCCACCGTCACCAGCTGTGTCCAAGACCCCGAGGTGCTCTCAGGCACGGTTTTCCCTTTGGAAATTGTGTGCGTCCCCCTGGTCGTCCTCACTCAGGCAGTCCCACCCCATGGACCAGCTGCCCATCTGCAGACCTCTCCTGGGCGTCAGGCTGCCCCTCCTGTGCCCAGGGCCCGACTCGAGGGGAGCCACCCACCCACCCTGCCAGCCTGCACCTGCTATCCTCACCTGGTGCCTGGGTTTTTTCTTCTCCATTTAGCTCATTTATGCACATTCCAGAGTAATTTTCCTAAGACATCCACACCCCAGCCCTCCTCCCTCCGAGAACCAGGGGCCAGAATTCTGCCCAGCCTGTCGCCGCCCCCCCCATCTTCCCCGTAAGGAATGAGATGTGGTGTGTCCGACACCAGCACATTCCACAGCCTCTACGAGCCCGACCCGATTAATAATTGTTTCCAGATTGCTTCTCTTGGCGTCCACAGACTGGATTTTCTGCGAAGGTGACCTGCGTGGTGTAAAGCTCAGGCTGTAGGAGGGAAGTCCCCAGGGCGGCACTTCATTAGCTCAGCTGCTGATGGTATTGGCTCAGCTCACTGAGGCTTCTGGCAGGAGGGTCTGTAGGCTACCGACCACCCTCCCCCGGGGCCACCGGGGTACCCGCACCTTCTGCAGTGGAGCCAGGTGCCGGGACAGCTCATCGCACCTTTCTCCTCAGCTGTCAGCCGAGGTCCTGTGACCACGGAGAAGGCAGAGCTCTAGGGCCCGGAGGACGCATGCCCAGGCTGGGTCCAATCACGGTGTGGAGCCTGGGCCTGTCACTGACCCGGAGCCTGAGACACGCTTCTGAGGAGCTCGTGTGGACCCTCAGCAGCGTGTAGCCTGACCCCACAGCTCCAGCTCCTGCCGAAGGAGCTGCCCCTTGAGGGGAGCCCGTGAGTGACTGTGGTCGCTGACCCGCCTTCTCTTCGGACAGCTGCCAAGGCTGCCCGCGCCCCACAGGGGGACCCCCAGCTGGGCCTCTGGCCCCTGGGCCTGGATGGGAGGTGTCACCCCTGCCACGCGCCCCTCAGTACCTGTCAGAGTGAACTGTGCCTCTGGGTGGAGCATGGGCCCCTCAGATGCCCCCAGTGCTGTATGTCCCCTTTTGCAACACTCCCGATGGGCAGAGGCCTCTGTCAGGCCCTGTGTGGGCAGCGGGCCCCCACCAGGTGAGAGGGATAGGGGTCCACACACAAGAGCCGAGTGCCACGGGTGGCAGAGGCTCCAAGACTTGGAGCTGGAGTGGGGGAGGCACCGCGGCCTCTCGGGTGCACTGGCCTGACTTCAGATGCGTCCGACAGGCTGTTCTTGCTCCAGGCTCCTTGACAGCTTAATAGACACGGCCGGCAGTGGGCGGGCTGGTGAGTCAGGCGCTCCGTGAGCTGGCCTGGGACGCGCACGTCCACCCCTGCCTGGGGCAGGACGGCCGGGGCCAGTGCTCCAGGCATGTCTGCTGCCCAGGGCTCTACAGACCCTGAGCTGCCCAGGACGCTGCAAAGCCCAGGGTCTCTGTTGACCCCTGTGCCGGCGCCGTGGTCCACGCACATCTGGGTGCCGCGGGCCTCTCAGCTCCTGCTCCTCTGCCCACTGGGCCCCCCGAGTCACTGCTGTTTCCGGGGGCTCTGGGCTGCCCCCAGGCAGGTGACAGCTCAGCCCAGTTCAGGGGCAGCAAGGGCAGCCCACCAGGCGTGCTGACAGGGTTAGCTCCATCCAGGCCCGGTGGGCACCAAGGCCAGGGAGGTTCCGGGGCCCTCGGAACGTGCGAAGGCCGGGAGAGAGTCGTCCCAGGGAGATTTCAGACCAGCAGCTCCTACTGAGTTAGGAGAGTTTGTGGCAAAACCTAGAATCTCGAAATAGGTGAGGTAGAGGCCTTGAAAGGTGCACCATGAGAGCCAGAGAATAGAATTGCATTTTCCGAGATCCATCTCCTAGGACAGGGGTGCCGTGCCTGGAGGGAAGTCGCGGAGGCCCCAGCCTTTCTCACGCCGCACGCCCGTCGGAGGCTGTCTGGTGAAGGCAGGGGGAAGCCCACCGTGCAGGCCTGGTCTGGTTGGAGGAAGCGGCCCCACTGGATTTGGGGTCTCAGAGGGATTCTGTGAAAGGTGTTTGGAGGCCCTCCGGCTCTGGGGAGGGGCCGGGCTGATGGCTCTGACTCGAAATCACCACTCCTGTCGTTCGGACAGGGCCCCATGGCCACAGTGGGCGACTGCTCTGTCCCGTTCACTGACACCTTTAGCAGAGCGGTGGCCTCATTGGTCCCTCTGGGCGGTGCCTTGCCCCCTGTAGAATCTCGGCGGCAGGTGCGACCCTGGGGAGCGGGCTATGTGGGAGTGGGTGAGCCCAGCGTTTTTGGGGTGTGGATGCAGAGGCCAGAGCAAGGGTGGCTCTCGGCCGGGCTGGTTAGGGCACGTGGCTTCGGGTCTGCACAGATGGGTTTTGTGTTGATGATGGGCACTGAGGAGTGATTTGAACAAGAGTCGAGTGCTTGCTCGTCTGGTAGAGCTGCACCAACGAGCCAGGTGGGGCCAAGCTGGAAACCCCACTCTCAGTTGGGGAGCACGCCCATCGCATGTGGCGGGATGGGCCTGGGCCTGGATTCGGTCAGTCCCCCAGCCGTGTGGCCGAGGCTGCGTTTTCACTCCTGCTCTTGGGCGCCCTGGCTGCAGAGGCGTCAGAGCACCTACAGGGCGTGGTTGTATGAGGGCACACGTCCACACCCCCCAACCTGCTCCTGATCCCCTTCTCCCCCACAGCCCCCTGCAGTCCCGTCTGATCCCGCTCCTGACCCCCTTCTCTCCTGCAGCCCCCTGCAGTCCTGTCTGATCCCGCTCCTGACCCCCTTCTCCCCCGCAGCCCCCTGCAGTCCCGTCTGATTCCGCTCTTGACCCCCTTCTCTCCTGCAGCCCCCTGCCGGCCCTGCAGCGATGCGGAGGTGCTCCTGGCCGTCTGCACCAGCGACTTCGGTGAGTGTGCTCCGGCTCCTGCCTCGTTGGGGGGCCCTGGTGGGCCTGGGAGAAGCTTCTGGTACCAAACTCTCCAGGGGGAGGAGACTCAGCTGAAAGCGCTGGGCTCGGTGCCCCCTCCTCTCTGGACTGTGATCGTAGGAAAACGCTTTGCTTCCTCCTCACTGGAGAAAGGACTCCGGCCTGGGGGAGGGGCTTGCACACGGCAGGGGGAGTGTTGGGAATTCCCATTTGAGGGACCCCTTTGCACACGAGGCATCGCTCTTGAAGTCCCTGGTGCCAGCCTCACATCAGAAGCCTGCCCTCGCCCCGTCCCCACAGCCACCGCAGCCGGCGTTCGAGGCCCCGGTGGGGCTGAGGCTGAGGTCAGGGACTCAGCTGCCTGCTTGTGATGTTGGCCCAGATGCTCTCGGGTGGGTGGAAGCCCTCCGTGTGAGCTTGCGGAGTCGCTGCTGTGGCGCTGGACCCAGCTTGAGCCCCGGGCACCAAGGGCAGTGGGGCGGGCTCCTGTCACTTTCTGCTCTGCACGGAGGGCATCAGCGTCCCCATGCCCACTCTGCTCTCCTCCTTCCCGTCCCCTTCCTCCCCAAACACCAGCGTTTCTGCCCGATCCTGATACGGAAGTGCCGCACAGCTTGTGTTGACTGTGATCACTTTCTTCTTCTAACTGATGCACAGTGTGATTTGTGTCTTCTGTCTTCCCCACTTACGTGGCTGGCCCTCGGTAGAAAACCTGATATGTCTGTGTGGCGGGACGAGCCCTGGGCAGCCTCACGCATGTGAGTTGTGCTTTTTTTTCCTTTGGAGGAAGATTAGCCCTGAGCTAACATCTGCTGCCAATCCTCCTCTTTTTGCTGAGGAAGACTGGCCCTGAGCTAACATCCATGCCCATCTTCCTCTACTTTATATGTGGGACGCCTACCACATCATGGCTTGCCAAGCGGTGCCATGTCTGCCCCCAGGATCCGAACCGGTGAACCCTGGGCCGCCAAAGTGGAAGTGCGCACTTAACCACTGCGCCACCGGGCCAGCGCTGAATTGTGGTTTTTAAGAGAACTCCTGGAACACAGAGTTCAGGGTCGGCTCCTGGTCCCGCTGCCCACCTGCTGCCAGTGTTTGCTCATTGGGCACCCCACTGACCCCTGTCTCCTTCCCCCCGCAGTTGTCCGAGGCTCCATCCAGGATGTCACCCATGAGCCGGAGCAGCAGGAGTCGGCCATCCACCTGCACGTGAGCCGGCTCTACCGGCAGAAGAGCAGGGTCTTCCAGCCCACCCCAGAGGGCAGCGGCTGGCGGGGCCGCATCACGACGCTGCTGGAGTGCGGTGTGAGGCCCGGGCACGGGGAGTTCCTCTTCACCGGCCACATGCACTTTGGGGAGGCCCGGCTCGGCTGCGCCCCGCGCTTTAAGGACTTCCAGAGGATGTACAGGGACGCCGAGGAGACGGGGCTGAACCCCTGTGAGATGGGCACGGAGTGACCACTGCTGGTGCCGCGGCGGACGCCCCAGTGCTCAAGCTACGGAGGCACACACCGCGTCCGACCCCACAGGGTCCCGGCCAAGGACTGATTGATTGGAAATGCTGTAAAATGCAAACTAAGTTATTATATATTTTTTAAAAAAAGAAACGTCCATAGGAAGCAAACTCTCGTGTCTTAAAATGCCTTTGTGTGTCATTTCGTGCTGTTTTTCAAAAGCATCTGGAGTCATTGCGTTGGCAGGTGTGTGGGGTGGGTGCTGGGGCCGTCGCCTGCCCCGGACACTCGCACCAGGCTTTGCAAAGCTTGGGCACCATTCAGAGTTGTTTCTTACGTCGGAAATCTATGGGGCCAAATATTGATTTTTCTGCTTTGTTGTTTCTTTGTAAAGAATGTGCTTTGCCAGCTGTGGCCATCTTGGGCTGCAGGCTATTTCCATTCCAGAGAATAAGGACCAGCGTCTGATGGAGCCGTGGCCCTGTGGGGCGTGCACTGTGCTTGGTGGGGTGCCCCCCTTGGGCCTCTCTTGGGCTCAGCTCTGAGTGTGGCTGTCACCCCCCCACTCCAGAAAGCGTGACTTGGCCTCAGCCAGATGTGGCCTCCTCCTTCCTGGAGGACCCCCCCACATCCTGTTGACCCAGAGCCTGCCCTTTGACCCCAGCTTCCTCCAAATGCCCAAGCCTACCGCAAGTTGCTGGACACCTGGGGGCTGGTCTGTGCTGACCCCCAGATCCTCAAGGATGAGTTAGTGTCCTGGGGTGGCCGTAACAACTGACCGCAAACTGGGGGCTTAAAACCACAGACACTTATCCTCTCAGTTATGGAGGCCACTCGTCCAAAACCAAGGTGTTGGCAGGGCCGTGCTCCCTCCAGAACTTCGGGGGAGGCTCCTTTCTGCCTCCTCCAGCATCTGGCGGCTGCTGACAATCCTCAGCCTGTAGGGGCATCGCTCGGTCTCTGCTCCACCATCACGTGGCTTCTCCCCTGTATGTCCTGTGATCTCTCCTCCTCTTATAAGGTCACCAGTGATTGAATTTAGGGCCCACCCCGTGACCTCACTGTAACTAATTACGTCTGCAAAGACCACGTTTCCAAATATGTTCACATTCACTGGCTCTGGGTGGATGTGAATTTTGGGGGACACTATTCACCCCAGTACAGGGGCCTTTAGGGTGTCAGGTGATCAGTTGTGAGCCTGCATCCTCATCTACGAATCAGATGATTCTCCCGAGCAGCTTCTGAGACCGAAGGGGGACCTGGCAGAGGCCAGCACTGGTCAGTGGGCACGACACCAGCTGCACTGAAGACTCGGGCACACCGTGTGGCCACATGGAGGCACTGTATGCCAGCTCAGGTGTGCACCAGCTCAGGTGTGCCCTGGCTCAGGTGTGCACCAGCTCGGGTGTGCCCTGGCTCAGGTGTGCCCTGGCTCAGGTGTGCTTGGCACAGTTGTGAGCTGACACAGATGTGGCCTGGCTCAGGCGTGCGCCGGTTCAGGCGTGTGCTGATCAGGTGTGTGCTGGCTCAGGTCTGTGGGTTCCTGCAGGTCATGACAAGAAGCAGGTGCTCAACACCTGCGCAACAAGTACAAGCATGGGCGAGGACCTAGGGCGGCCGGGTTGGGAGCAGGTCCTCCTGTGGCTAATCATTGAGACGCGTCATGCCAGGAGGGCGCGTGTAGCAGCAGCAGCCGTGCCAGGTCCACGGTGGGGCGGGGCTGGATCTGCCCGGGATGGTGCGTTGGAGTTTCTGGGCCTCCGGGCAGCAGATGCTGCAGAACCGGAAGGTCAGGCTTTGGTTTCTGGGCTGGTTGTCCTCAGGTTGGCGCAGAGACACTGGGATCTGCCTGAGGGGGGCGGGGGGCCTGAGCCTGCGTGTTGATGGCAATGGGCAGCAGCACTCCCCCAACCTGAGACCTGGGCTCTTCAGAAAGTGCCATGGGCAGCAGCCTGGAGCTGGCTGGGGTGGAGGCTGCTCGAGGGGTGAGGAAGCGTCCCCCGCCCAGAACCTGCCTTTGCCCTGAGCAGGGGGGGCAGGAGGGGGTTGGTGCTGAGGGTCCAGCCCTGCAGGGGGGTGCCTGGTGCTGGCACGCAGGAGCCTTGCTCTCCACGGCCTGCGAGATTAGTACAGCAGAGCACCCCAGCAATCCAGGGCCACTCTGTGCCGGGCAGCGGCTGGAAGGGTCACCCTTTCTGAGGGAGCACAGAGCCCCTGCCCCGTGACCTCCTGCTGCCAGAGCCCCTGTGGGCCTCTGAGGCCACCGTGTGCCCCATTCCGCTCTCTGACACAGAGCTCCTGCCCTCCCATGTCTGTCCTTGGGGAAGGCTCCACACTGTGGAGCCCTGAGGGACCAGGCTGGACACTGGGAGGATCTCCAGAGGGCACTCTGGCTGACCAGCGGCTCTGTCCCTGCTCGGGTCAGCCCGGTCACTGTGTGGACGGAGACATGGGCACCCTTCTGTGGCTCTGTCCACAGCTTGAAGGGGAGGTGCAAAGGAGCCCTCGAGTCTGGGCCCGGTGTGCCCCAGATCCCACCTTCCTCCTGCCAAGCTGCACACCCCTGTTGACCCCTCCCTCCTCCTCCTGTATCCATCTGTCCTGCTGTAAGTGACGAGCCCAGGCCCGCCGCAGCACTGTTTTCCCTGCTCCTGTCTCTTCCTTTCACTGCTCCACTTGTAGGGAGTGAAGCCTCGAGCTTCCTCTCCTCCCTGTGCGTTTCCCAGCTCAAACAGGGCCGGGTGCACGGCACAGGCCGGCCAAGGCCCCGCACGACCCCGCAAACGCAGCCTCCTGGCAAATCCTAAGCGACATCCTTATTCTCTTGGCCTCAGGGGCCTTGGACACCCCTTTTTTCTAAAGACGTTCCTCAGACGCTGTTGGAAGGAGCCCCAGGTTCGGGCCTGTCCATCGACACCAAGAGCAGGAAAAGCAGTTGCTTCCCGAGATCCTCAGCCCCCCATGCGTCCGTGGGCAGCAGGCTCTCATCTCCTGGTGCCCCTCCTGTGCCCAGGGTCCTGCACCAGGTATCTGCCTGGAGGAGCCGGGGTGGAATGGACCACAGGTGTGAGGGACTTCGCGTTCACCTGGGGTCTGGCCACAGCCCACACTCACCCACGTGGCCCATTGGGACCCAGGGGAACCTCTGACTGCTACACGTGAGTGCCCCTGTCCTGGCTTCTGGTGGCAAGCTGGCCCCCAGGCAAGGGCCCCCAGTGACGTCCCAGGCCAAGCTGGCCAGCCCAACACACACCCTGTTGGCGCTGCAGACAAGAATGGGGCCTTGAGTCAGATATACCCTCAGGACTGTCCCTCCAGCTCCAGCACTGGGACTCTGCTCTCGGGGGGAGCTGGGGACCACCAGTGTGTAAACCCACAGACGTGAGTCGTACTGGTGTGAGGTGGCAGCTGGTGCTGAAGGAAAAGGGGCAGAGCAGGGCCTGGGTGGAAAGTGTGGGGGCGCAAGGACAGCAGAACTGCAGTTTTAACAATGGTGGTTGGGGTGGGATTTGAGCCAGGCCTTGAGGTGGGGAGAGTCACGGCCTTCTTGGTATCTGGGAGAAGCAGACATGCCATGCAAAGGTCCTGGGGTGGAAGTGGCGGACGGGCCAGGGAGAGGGTTGGAACTCCACGTGACTTTTACAAAGTTTGCTTTCTGGCTCCTGTCAGCACTGAGAAAACAGTTGCTTGGCCCCTGTGATAGAGGAACAGGGTCTCCTGTCGACAATTTGTATTTCTTTGATTCCTAGCTGGGTGGGCCATGTTTCCATGCATGTGGTCCCTGTCTTGTCTGTCATCTGATCACATCCTTACCCATCGCGGATGATAGAATAATGGCCCCCAAAGAAATCCTCACCCCATCCCTGGGACCTGTGACTGTGTTTCCTTACATGGCGGAGGGAATTGAAGTTGCTGATCAGATGGGGACAAGATATGGGTCGAGTGGTGGGCCTGATGTTGTCACGGGGTCCTGAGCAGTGGAAGATGGAGGTGGAGGAGAGAACCAGAGAGACACTGGCTGTGCAAGTGGAGGATGAGCTGTGAGGCGAGGGATGGGCGCCTCCAGAAGCTGGGAAGGCGGGAGGCGTTCTCCCGAGCCTCCGGAAGGATCCTGGCCTCGGGCACCTGACTCAGCCCATGAGGCTCCTGTGGGACCTCAGACCTCCAGAGCCAGGGACAATAAACTCATGCTGTTTAAGCCGAAGGAGTTAGTGGTGATTTGTTACAGCGGCTGGAAGAGATGAAGACCCCATGAGCCTTCTTGCCTGGGGTCAGGGGTCTGGGCAGGTCCCCCTAAAGTTGTGTGTAAATGCTGCATTATGTGTCTCTGTGCATCGCTTTCATCAGAATCTCAAACTTGGGGGCGTGACTCCGAGGAGGTGGAGACCGCAGGGTGGTGTGGTTTCCTCACCGATTTGTAAGGGGTTGTGCTCTTTCCCTCCCTTAGTGTCTCTGTCTCTTTCTCTGTCTCTCTCTCTGTCTCCTGCTGTCTCTCTCTCTCTCCCTCTGTCTGTCTCTCCCTCTGTGATCTCGCATTTTTTCCTCTTTGCCGACCAGCTACATTGTAACCTGCTGCCTCAAAGTCCCTGCGGGAGCCGCCTGCTTCCAGGTGTGGTTGCAGCGCTGTAGGGACGCGCCCGCCCACTCCTGGGCTCACCTGTCCTGAGTCACCCTCTCGACTCAGACAGTGAGGACAGGGTCCTCCGTTGACATTCACCAGTCCAGGTGGTTCCCACCGGCCTCAGTAACACCCCCCATGGGGCCCACCTGCGGCTGCCTCCTCCGCCCAGCACCCCAGGACCCTCTTGCTCGTGGGCTGCCCATCGTGGGTCCTGCGTGTGCTGACGTGCTCCTGGGCCCTGTCCCTGTCACCCTCTCCTCTCCGTGACACGCCCCGGGTCTGCAGACACCCACCTTCCCCAGCTCCTCTTCTGTGGCTGGGTTTCAGGACCTCACCTGTTGCCCCCAGGTGCCCCAGTCGTGCGTTTCAGCCACACCCAGCCTCCACTCACCTGCACACATGACACAGACGTGGCAAGATAGGGTGGGGTCAGAAGGGCGCCCGGTGGCACAGGAGGACCCTGCTGGGACAGCCACACTGGGGCAGGTGCGAGCACAGCGGGAGATCTGGGCCTGGACTCACCTCTCTGGCACAGGAGGGTCCCGCTTG